ATTGCATGCGCTTCGCATTTTGTTTAGCAGCTTGAGTTTAGCTAACTGAACATTATGGAAGCTGTTTTTTCCGATTATGTACGAAAACAAGGGGGAGGAAACCACCCTGAGGAATTTTCAGGGACATGTATGAAACGGGGAGGGGGACATCCATAATTCCATGATCATCATAGCATGACACTTACAACTTACATCTGGAGACCGTGAAATGTAGATTGAGAGGGGGGTGTTCCCCCCCTCGAATATACATTGATGTGCCCCGGTGATCCTGCATGACTAACACGTTCCCACTTTCCTAAGCCTGTGCGGTCAATATATGGCAAAAATCCTGGCGTCTTGCCGACCACAAAAGTGCAACTAGAAGACTAGATCACAACACATGTGGCAATCTAAGCCTATTGAACCATCGATTTTATGCATTGAATGCAGTCAATCACCTTCATCCATCTCCTATCAACCTGATCAACCAGAAGCCAGAGCAACCACTCAGGTGCTCAAAGAACCTGGAAAGCAACGGATTAACCTACTATATACTGCAAATGTTTCGTAGAATGATCAACGCCAGGATACCCAACATTTACTGTAAGAGTCGGTAAAAGAAAAAGTCCTTTGTGACCACCGTCCTTTGTTCCACCGAACGCCGCCTCGGCGCCTCGCCTCGGCTACGGGGCGCCCGCCTACTGACCGGTTTCGAACCGACCGGTGGAACCCTTCTCCGACCGGGTCTGAACATCTGCAGAACCCGTCGGTTCGGGTGTCCAACGAAAGCTTCGAACCAAGCTGGGGCACTTCTTCACTTTGCTGCGGTTATTGTCCCGCAAGGCTTTGTTCAGGTCCTGCACCACCAAGCCATCAACGAGTACTTGCGCTGTCTGCGCTTGTGGCCCAGTACTTGCGTTCGGTGTCCGGGAGATGTTGTGCCTCCAAAGTGTCTCCAACTGGTTTTCGGAGCGTCCGGACCGACCCTCTGACCAAGGCCTCTCCAAGTGTCGAACCCATCACCATCACTAGGGCATGTGGATTCATAGATGTGAAAAAAGGGGTAGAATCCCTATCAAAAAGTACTGGAAACCGCTTCTACCTATTTGGGGACCACCATAGGGTGAGGGATGGATTCCAGTTTGTTCCAGCAGGCCAGCTTTCACTCCAACACAATCTCCAATGCGTTTTGATGGTGATGATCGGTTGGGACGTCTTCTCGCTGATGGTTTTCTTATGTTTCCTGCAGATTTTCCTGCCCAAACCTCCAACTGGGCAGCCGTCCATACAAATAACTCTTCAGCACTCCTGGTAGATGGCATTGGAGGTATACAGCATGATGGCCGCATACTCCTGCCATCGGGCACTGGAATTGTTGTACACGAGTTTTTACGACCCGCGGGTCAAGAAACCTTCACTCTCCAAGTCATGAACGTGGAAGTGGAACAACACCAGTTTGCGTGTTTGTAGAGAAAAATGCCTTTTGAAGGGCCTGCTTTCCACTTCCATGATTGGGAGTGGATATCCAGCACCTTGTCCAACTGATCATTGAGACTTTTGTGTCCAACTCGCCTCCATGTTGGAGAGTCGGTATTTGATGAGAAGATCGGAATACCGCTGAGCGGAGCAGCGGTGAATCCCATTGATGTTTTGTTTGCGGAGAGATCATGCAATTTGACCATCCTTACGCTTGCTGGCAGAAGGGGATATCTACTCGTAGCTATTCATCCAAGTGATCAACATCCTCCATGAATCTCCATGAGGTCAATGGGGTTGAAGGAGGATAGCAAAGCCAAATTGAACACCAGTATGGCCAAGAAACCCCTTCAGCTTCAAGTACGTCCAGTGAGTGAGTCTATCTCCCCCAAAAGGCGACCCACAGCATGGCCTAGCATGCCCATGGTCCCGATTTGGTTCTCTTGGTCAAAAGAACCAATTGCAGGGTCTGCAAATGTAAGAACATCCAAGCTTTTTGGCTGGTGACTCGTTCGGAACAGCCATCCACCCCTTTCGCAAACGCGCTGCGAGTTCTTTCTGCAAACGCGCTTGATCTGGATTGAATCCGTCCAACACTCAGGCCACCTTTGGCGGCCTGGGAGAAGTTTACGGCATTGACACGAGTCTTTTGCAGTTGGATTGAAAAAATGATTGAAGCGATCTATCGTGCCATTCATCCATCTACTTCTGTCATGTAGTGTCGATTTCTTTGATTCTCCCCGTAGCTTGGAGCTGTAGCTTGGAGCTGAGCTTGCAAGTGACCCAGTCTGAAGCATCAGGGCATTACCACGTTGAGCTGTTGATCTTTCAGCCAAGTCCTGCAAATCCCACGGTGTCTTTCTGTCAGAGATCTGCTTGACATGTCAGTGCCTTCTCACACTTCCAGGGATTCCCGTGTCCGACACAAACTGGTGGACTGGCTAGGTATATAATCGCAACTAAGATGTCAATCTGTCAGGTTCCCTAGGAGGGGCTTTCATTTTGGACTCAAGTCTCCATCTCCCCATCTCTATACTTCCTCTGTCCCTATTTCATCCGACTTCCCTACTCGAGCCATCACATTCCCAATCCACACTCTGCGCGGGGCCGCCTCAAGATGAACCACTCTGCGACGCCTCTGACTCCGAGTCGGAACTCGCGTCGCTGTGCGGCAGCGCAGGGGCAAACGAAGACCTCGCACAGGCGCCGAAGACCTTGCGGCCACGGGCGAAGAAGATCTGCAGTAAGGAGAGGCCCAACGGAAGCTTTGCAGTGCCTGGTGGCGCGACCAACGGAGTGTCTTTGCGCCAAGGAGATGGTTTCGTGGGGGCCCGCAAGCAGAGCAAGCAGAGCAAGCAGTGGTCGAGCATGCATGGCAAGATTTGGAGCGAATGAAGTTGAGTTTTTTTGGGGTGCTTTTCGGGGTAATGAAGCTTTGCACTTGTCTGGGAAATGCGAACCGGAGTAGATGGGTGATTTTTGGATGAGAAGGCAATCTCGGAGACGAGTGAAGATCGTGTGACAAATGGAGTGAAACAAACGCGCTTGTCTTGCAGTCATCTTCGTGCTATTTTATATATATATATGGAATCCCGTGTTAACGGAGTGGGCACTCTGGGCTTTAGAATAATACGAAAGTTTTGCTCCTGTTTTGAAAGGGAAGTTCGAAAGCATGTCCTAACCTGCCTATGCTCAGTGGGCAAAAGACAAATCAGTGAGTGACACGATGGTGGCCTTGTATGCCGAGCAATGCAAAAGCCAGAACCACCGACCAGCTGGCGGCAGAAAGCACCAGCCAAGCCATGGACAGTGTCCTGGGATGTGTGCGTTTTTTCCCGAGACTCAGCCTGGCTCCAAAGACTGCTGTGAGATCTATCTTTGGTTTAAGAACTCTCTAAAACCCGTCACAAATAACAACTACTCGGAGCTTCCGGTGCTTCACAGCGACGACCAAAAACCAACGAAAAAAGAAAAAAACCGACGTCTCTTCTCATCCTTCTTTGTGCTTCAGCGTCTGCATGCTCAAAATGCTGGACAATGAACAAACAACTGCAAAGATCACCAAGACCACTGCAACTGCCTTGGTCAACACCTTCAGAATGAAGCAACGCTCGTCATCTGCTCGTCGAAGAATTACACCAATCCTCGGTAGGAGTCCACGGCCGAGTCGACCCATGGTGTTTTTGGGGGATACTGGGAATATCCCCTATGGCATTCAAGGTCTAGAGTCTGCCTCTAATCATTCTATATAGCTTGCGCAGTCTGACAAGGATGGGTGGTCCTTTTGCTGTGAAACCCAGGAATGGTCACCGGTTGAAGCCCTGTGGACGTGGATGTCCGACAATTCAAATGTCTTTTTGAGGTGCCAGAGACATATCAAAGCTCCAATTCTACCAAGTGTATAATGGTCATTCTTCCATGTCCTTTTCTCTTTTGTTTCTCAAAACTCCGATTCTGCCAAAGTAGACTCTAACCTCTTGGGCTGCTGTGTTTCACGCCGTCCCCATCGTCCGGCTCACTCAATCCCAAGCATCAGTAACAGCCGGACGACGAGGGAGAGCCCTGCCAACAAGGCCCACAAAAGGTAGTTGACCCCTCGATAGTGTATAAGCTCCAGCACTAAGAAGGCCAGGGTCACCAGCTCATAAGGGCCCAGAATGATCACCGGACATGAGATCTCCTCAGTCGAGCTCTGCCGGGACACCAAGTGCCACTTGAAAATTTCTGGAAGCGATTTTCTTCATTCTTGGGTCAACCAATTCCAAATATCAGGTCTAGGGCACCAACATGTGAACAGTATGACACCAGCGAACTCATCGTGAATTAATTGGCCATGCCAGGAACAAGGATGACCATGTAGGTATGTGATGTGGGATCTATGATTTCCGCAGCTACATAATCGAGGTTAGTTCAAAACCATATCAATATATTTATAAATTTGTTGTCCATCAAACATATGTTTTTTCTCTAGCAGTACACGTTGATTAAGTTTAAGTGACTCGAAGAAGGTGATCCGAGTAGGCCCCCAACACACACACACAAGGCCCCTGTAGGAGTCTTCCAGGTCTCCGAGTAGGCTGCGTACTCGATGTCCACTCCAGACCGCGCCACCTCTCTTAGGGCTGTGGTAGACATTCCTGCTGTCCTGAACGAACGAAGGACACCCTGTAACCACCCGCAACAGTGCCGCTGCCCAACATTTCGGTGAGCACCGATGGCGAGCCCACGGCAATGGTGGCAATTTTGGTTTCTTGTTGGCATTGTTTTCAGGTGCACCTACCTCAAGGATGCTTGTAAAACTGTTGAACATGCACCGCTGGCATCCATTGACCTTCCCCCAAAGGATCAACCATTCTTTCAAGGATTTCACACAACAAACCCAGAATCAAAATCCATTTTTGACACCTCTAGTTCATACCATGGAGACTATGTCATGGAACAATCATTTCTTCGGGTCTCAAGAGCACGTGGATGGCATAGTCCACCTCTTCCCGCTTTCCGCCGATCTCCGCGCGGATCTTCACCGCGTCCGCCGGCTCCGAACACTCCGCGTGCCTGGAGCTTCAACGACGGTGTCGGGTCTCTGCGGGCGCCCTTTCTTTTCCAGAAAAGGACGTTATACGGGTGCGTTTTGCAGTGTTCTTGAAGCCCCTTGTTTTAGCACTTTGCATGTTGAAGGCGTTCAGACGTTGAGGACGAGACCTCGTTACCGTTGTTGCAGATAGTTTGCATGGCAAGGGTGAATGGCCATTACCAGTACTATTGACCTTTGGCATTTGCATTGCCATTGCTATTAGCATCAGCATTAGAATTACCATTAGCGTGCCCAGTACCACTAGCATTGTCATTAGCAAAGTCCTCAGAGGTCAAAGAGCAAATGGCATCACCATCACAATTGCCATTGGCATTGAGCCTCCTCGATGTTGCCAATGACCTCGATCGGCTCCTCCCAATATCTTCCTTTCACTTGTTCCCATTTCCATCCCAGGAGAGTGTCTGTATCCAAGTCTCCCGATTTCCTCCATGCCGCGTCCTCTGCTCTAGGTTCCGCTGCTGCCGGGCGCTTGCTGTACTGGTAATGGTAATTTACCATTGACCCGTGGTGATGCTAGTCGCAACGGTGATGGAATGCCATTCACCCTTTGACCTGTAAGAGCTTTGCACCCTGTGACCATTCACCCTGTGAGCTGTGGGACCTTGCCATTCCCTGTGAGCTGTGGGAGCTTGATGCCATGCACCTCTGGTTATGCTAATGGCAATGGTATTGCCAAGGGCAATGGTAACGCACCCCCACAAAAATGATCACAAACACAAACTCAAACGGAACGGCAAACAGACAATCACAAACACAACCACAAGCACAATCAGAACACACAGCCACAAGCACACAAACCACACACGCAATCACACAACCACAGCCACAACACAAACACGCAACCAAAAAGCACCACCACAACACACAACCACAAAACAGAAGCCACAAGCGCAACCACAAACACACAACCACATCACACAATCACAATACACAGCCACAACACACAACCACAGCACATAACCCACAACCACAACATACAAACGCAACACTCAAGCGCAACCACAAAAACACAACAACAAAATAGATACCCGTGTGTGTGTGTGGCTTTTTGCGTTGCAGGTGGTCACAGGGTAGTACTTTTGGATGCCAACTGGAGACCCAGGGGACACCCCGACGCAAACTCCCTAGCACTAAAATAGCAACCCTTAAAGCGGAGGACCCACAAGCAAAATCGAATACCGCAAAAAGCATGACCGTGGCAAAGTGCTCCTCACCAGGGCTTGAAATGGAAATGTCATGCTGGGGATGACTCGAAATAGTTTTAAAGTCCGCTCCCACCTCCCTACTCAATTAGTTATAGGCGCGTACTGAATTAAGTAAGGGACTGACTAGTAAGCTAGTACCTTACTTAAGCTGCTAGCATGGACGCAGGTTAGCTCACGCTTCTTCAAGGAAGCTACCCCGCCTGAGGGCATTTGTTCGGTCGGGGCTTTCTGCGCTATTTTGCATCCTTGGATATGTTGGAAGAGATGTCCAGTTTCGGGCGCATAAACAAGTCGCTTCCTGTGGTAACTTCGACCCACCTTCGAAGTACTTGGAGGTTCGGGGGCCCAGAAAGATTAGACTGTTGATGCATCACACCCCCTGCGCAGCTTCCAAGCTGTCACCGTCTCAGCACTGTGAGCAGTATCTGGAGCAAATGGAATCGCGTGGAAGGTAGAAGAGGTTTTACAATTCCAATATGGGGAGTTGATTTCATCAACCTTCTACATATATTGGCATCTATGAATTTATATGTATATGGAGAACGGATCATCCTGACCGATGTACCCAAAAGTTCAACAAAACCAAAATATGTGCCCTTATATATATATATAACATGCAGTGGAATCCATCAATTCCCAGGTTCCCAGGCATTGCTGGTCAAATGCTTCTGCAGGCCTAGTCTTTGAGGCTCAAAGACATGTGGATCCGATACCCCTGAACGACACCAGGCACGGATCGCACGCGGATAAAACAAAAGCCTGATGGAACCTTTGTAGTTCTTTTGAAGCTGCTCGGATTCAACAACTGTGGAATTCCCACTGATGCGATCCACTTCCATCAGGCTGCAGAAGATGGCACTCATCCTGAGAAACATCACGGGGTTCAGTGGTGGAGTTTCAACCCCCATATCGCCTAAACATCTAGAGCCATTGTTGCTATGATAGAGTACAAGAACAGGCTTCCAGGGACTCAATGAGCACTATCAAACAACTGCGGTGGACACTTTTTGAAGGAGCCAGCTAAAGAAGATGGCAAGGCCAGCAGCAACAACCATACCCACAACCGCGGCAACAACAGCCTCAAGTTCTGTCATTTTCTGCTTCACACGCTCAGAAGCCTGTGAAGTCTGTAGCACCACCATTCAGCCACGCATTCACTGGCTGGATTCATGCACGAGTATACCTTTGCATTATTAGGTTGGAGGCCATCGCTACTAAGTACCCAACACATGGCTGCGCCAAGCAGAGAGCGGAGGGCCAACGCAGCACTCAAAAGAAAACTTGTGAAGCCAATGACACACGTAGAACAAACTTGTGAAACCAGTGACACAGGGTTGCACCACGCAGGCAGCGACAACAACAAGCTATAGAAGAAGAGTTGCAACGTCAGTAACAAGAGGCAAAGAAGGACACAAGGGGCGGGACTGCAAACAGAGTAGAACGCCATCATGACCTGGAGCGACCACGGCTGTGCAAGCTATGCGACCGGGGTCTACCACAGTGCCCGGACAGTGCTCCAACATGGCCACAGGAATGGTAAATGAGTCAAGAACTCTAAATTTCTACCGTTTTGCCCTGCTGCTGCCCGAATCGCTGGTATTTTCATTGCTTTTGGCTTCCGGGCGCTGTTCTGAGCACTGTCGGATCACTGTGGAGCACTGTGTACTTCCCCCGCAACATCCCTTTTGACGTGACAGCAAAGTCAACACCAACAAAGGATAGCAAACAAGTGGCATCAGCCAGCAAGCAAAAAACTAACACAACAAGCTGGGTAGGGCAAAGTCATGAAACGAGACTGCAGTAATGAAATAACACTGTTGATGGACAAAATCCTGCACCACTTTGCGCACAGTTTTCTTGCTGCCCTCGTTCTCTCTCGTTAACATTGGGAGGGTAGAGTGGAGGGTAGAGGAAACAATAAACGCACATAAAAAAAGGAAACATCACAGTGCTTTTGCTTTGTGGCCAAGCATCAAATAGAAAAACGTATAAAAGGCGACATGCACCGGGGGCTGAAAATCCCAGGTCGTTGACCTAGAAAAGTCGTCCGACGAGTTTGCCATGTTCACCCAAAAATTTGATTTGAACAATACCATGGGATAAATACATATATATATAACTATATGGATGTCTACATATATAGATTGATATACTATGGATATACTGTGATTATGCAATATTATGTATATAATACTTTATTATACATGCATATATATAATGATATGTATATGTGTCTAGATATAACTGATAATAATTGACTTAATAATTGTGTCTATGTTAATTATGCATATACCAGGTACCATCCCACTTGTTCTTTGGCAGCCAGCCGACTCAAGGCAGAAACCTTGGCAGTCCCAACAGAGCTTGCCCTATGTGTGACCAGAAAAAAATTGGTGGCCCAAAGAAGAAAGCCGGAACAAGAACGACATAGTGCCCAGTTGCCACGTCGGAAACAACGGCTCATAATGTGAGATTTGAGTCCAGCACAGCATCATCAAAAAAAAATGCAAGGTGATCCTTGCTGTATCGTGCCTCAGATTTCATGATACAAGCTTGAGGAACTCAGTAGATAAGTGATATCTGAAGTCCATGTAGGGAATGGCCTTTTCGCTGTTCAAGAAATCCCAGGGGGTGATGGTTGGCGAGCTAGCAGCTACTGTAGCCAGGGGATGAGCTATTCCAGAGCAGCAAATTCAAGGCATGCCCGTCTCTGAATGCACCCAACGCTTCAATGCCTTGTATTCATGCAGGTGCTATTCCTTTCACCTTGAACTGTTTCACTAACGGATCCGCTTTATTTTGCAAACACTAATTGGCCATCTTACGTCTATCAATTCTCCAGACGTGGTGATTGTTCTTTTGTTCTATCTTCCGCCTGTCCTTTACTTGACTCACTTTGGGATGCCCTGTATTTCTTGTTCGGCCCGCACACGAACCCATGGGCGAAGGGAACCGCTTAAGGGAACCGCTTCAGGGAACCGAACTGAACGGTGTGCGGCGAGGAGGCTGAATGTTCAAGCTGAGCACGCAAAGCAAGCACCCCAGAAAGGTGGTCGGCTTGCTATAGTGCAGATTGTAAAGACTCCCCAGCAAGCCCAGGAACGCTCCCAAGAAGCTTGCGAGGAGCATCAAGCGCATGGATGAGAGGATTTGTGGAAGGTTGGAGGGCTTGGCGATTAAGATCCTGTACCAGTCGGCCATTGGCACGTTTGGACGCATCGTCTTCCCTGTGCGGGAGGTTTCGATTAATGTCCGGGAAATCACCTCTCAGTTCAACCAAAGAAGGAGCTATATACATGTTATACATTATATATATGTACCTGAAGCATCCTTTGTAGCACTTATTTCTGGCGAACCATGGTTTGGAGCACTTTTTGGAAGTTTGAGCGTTAATTGAGGGTATGTACACTTTTCAGGACATATGAGCGCTTTTTGGTGATGTAAATTCTAAAGCCTACTGGTTCCTGACCAGTGTCCTTATCAACCCTTGTGGGCCTTTGGCGGCCCTATGGACCGGGTGGAAATCCTATATGACCTCCTACTAGTAGTATGTGCAAATGAAACCGCAAAGGTTTGGTTCCAACCTTCTGGGCGTGCTTTACAACAATTTTTCCAAAAAGGGTGCCCGCAACTTGGGCGCAAATTCCCGCAACCCGGGCGCAAATTCCCGCAACCCGGGCGCAATTTTAAAAAGTGGCGGATTGTTATTTTACTTACTGTAAATATTTTATGTTGATACTGATGATCAAAGAAAGGGGTTGCTGGCTGCCGCTTCGTAGTGTGTGAGCGTGTGTTGTGTGTGCATGGGATGGGTGCCAGCATGTGGCAGGGGAATGGACTTGAAGACCACATAAGGTGGAATGAAGCTACATCTGACTTTCCAGTGGTACGCTTTTTCAAGGCATGAACACTTTTTTTGATGATGTGCAGTTTTTTTTTTCTGTCACTTTTTTCTGCTACGACGGAGGGTTCAGGTATATATATTTAACACATTAACAAACGTCATTGAATTCCGAACACTCACAACCAAACTTTGGTCTGCCACATTGACTAATTGTAAAGTGCGTGTTGATGCGATGTCTCCAAACATTGAAGCTCGGGAAGTGGAGGGCCGTGGATCCTCTATCAGCTAAAGGCATCGAACTGAAAACAATCACCACACCCATCCTCTTCCCTTCTTCATGAGCAAGGTAAGCTTCATAGGCACACCAAAGTCTCGTGTAGACGCTTTGGTGACGATTGGGCACCACTAAGACAATCTCGGAGGCTTTCAAAGCCACTGCGAAAGGTGACGTGCTCGGTGAAGTCAAGAAGGAAGCCTTGGATGGCCAGTTGACCACCGAAGCCAAATGCATAGAATAGATAGCGTCCTTGCTCCATTCGTAGCGATGCCATTTGCTCCTAGTAGCTTCTTGTTTCTAGTAGTAATGCCAGGAACCCGACACGGTCAACCTGAGAAGTTTAGGGCTCCGGATTTTGATGCACCACCGTATTGTTCTGTTTGTCGAAGAAGCAACAAGACAAATCAACAGACTGCATAATCCTACTAACTGCATTCGCAGCTCGTTTAGGTTTAGGTGAAACAATCAAGTGGCACCAAAGCGCATCCATTTGACCAAGTTGCAAGGTTGAGATTCTGGGGGTTCGCCAACATGCAACACCATGCGTGCACAGCCCCACGTGGCCAGGAATGACGGACCTTGGCCAGAAACTCAAAGACCCCTTCCTGCCAAGCATGGCTGATGAAGAGATCACACTCCAAACCTCAGATGCAAAACATTTGGGGACGATGAAGGTGAAAGCTCTATGTAAAGAGGTCCTACACAAGTTGGCAGGCTTGATGGACTTCATATCTGCAAAATGAAAGCTTTGAGCAACTGAGCTGAAACACCCTCTGGGTTCCTCATCAAGGCCCAACTCATTTTGCCAGCCTTTTCAGTGATGGGCTTGATATATTGCTCATTCACTGTGTAAATGCTGGGCCCGTAGCCCTGGTCCATGGTCAAAGTCCAGTCGTCGTGCCCATCATGGGGTGGCCAAATCTCTTGCCGCTGGATAGCACGGCCCAGGTCCTCCAACCGCCCCGCGGCCCGCCCCTTTCGTCCCTGCGCGTTTTCGGCCCTTTCACCTTTTTGGGTGCGGACGATGCAGTGCCAAATTTCCAGGTGAAGCTCCAGGGGGAAATGAATTGTGGTCCGGTCAATTCTATATTATGCTCAGCTGAACTAGTGATTTGGGGTGGTTTCGGTCAGAAACTCCGATCCCCGAGTTCACGCCTCCATCGGTCCGGACAGCCGCAGGTTCCGGACACCGACCGGTTGGGTCCTTCTGTAAGAAGAGCAGGTCATGCAGGGTGACGCACCATCGATCGGGTGGAACAGCCTCTGAAAGAGGGAGGGCTGTTCAGAGCAGAACACTGAACTGAACAGAAAGCTTGTGAAGTGGGCTTGTCGTTTTTTTGGGGGGGTCCGGAGATGAACAGAAACAAATCAGCGGAGGTTGAGTATGCTCTCCCCGTCCCAACCCCCAAAGCAGGTGAGGCCAACGGCACGCTCTTCAACGGCCTCGTGCAAGGCGTAGGCATTCAGCGAGATGGAATGCTCTGCCGCGGAGGGTGAAGACATGGGGGAAGTAATCGACCGGTGAGGATGCCTGGAGGTGGAGAACATATTTATGGACGTGACACCACTGAGATCTCCTCTGGGTAACTGGCGCCCTTCTGGCTGATGTCAAGTCCATGAAACGACGGATCCTTTTGAAGGAGATGTTAGTTTGGAAGATTTCAGTTCTTGTGGTCCGGCTCTGCAGTGATATCAGCAAGGCCCAAATGTCTGCGGGTGACCATGTACTCCAGCGCCGGTTTCACAGCGCCGTCCTCTTCACTTCCGAAGGCGCCCGGTTCCCGTGGCTCTTTGAGGAGTTCCTGACCTGTGAAATGGGTGGACCCAGAATCAGCCCACTCTTGGGCTGATGACCTGGGCACCGGAATATGGCCTCGTGCAGGGGCCGAGGTCTCGTCCATGGAGAGTTGCCATGACCCCGAAAGGAAGAGGACTTTCCGAAGACCAAACAGCAAATGAGGTGCTTTTCCAGGAGCCCTGTTCGGTCATCGGAGTGTGGCCCTTTTTTGAAGCTCCTTGAAGGTAATAAGATAACCAGATAACCTATAAGCAAAAGGAGCCTTAATCGCAATGGCCTCCACCGTAGTAAGCAACGCTTTGGCCAACGGTTCGTGCCGTACGGACCGAACGGACCGAACCGTACAGGGTCCTTCTCCGTCATCTTCCGCTTGGGCTTTCCGGCCTCGCACTTCTATGACTTGAGAGATACTTGGATACTGCTCTGTCTGACCCAAATGACTGTCTGACCATGTCTGACTGTCTGATCATCATATCTGCTTCTGAAAATCCTTCTGACCCTGGGCTTTCAAGAAATTGTGACTGAAGACCAGGAAGTACTGATGAATCCTTACATAATAAGTACTTGTTTTGAAGACTGATGTGCAAACAGTCTTAGTGACATGTAATTCCGCGTCGTTTTGCGACTCTCTTGTTCGCTTGAACTTTTTGTGTGGCAGCCATGAGCAAGACTGACTTTCCTAATCAAATATGGTCAGCCCTTCTTACAGCAGCATTCCCACACTTCAGGTCCAAGGTTATGCAGGTGATGCTCAGAAAGTCTAGGAGGGTCCAACAAAGAAAAGACGTCAGACGACATCATGTTCCTTTTGTTTAATGATGCATCCACGGACCTCGGGTCCGTAGAAAGCATCTTGCAAACAGGGACAAGTTCGTCCTGGTTCCTTGCCCAAAGAAATTGCCCAAAACGAAGGACTTTCCTAGGAAATTGGATGTGCCAGTGTCATGTGATGTCATGTGATCTCATTTCAGGCATGAGGCATGTTCGGACATCCAGTCCTTGTGACGAACTGGCGGCCACCGGTTTACAAACACATGCTTTTCGCCCGCGCAGCCGCGCAGAAAACCACATCTCCAGCGGCACCCTTTTTCGCTCCAACGACATGCAGTGACGCAATCCTCTCAGCTTGTGTGAAGCTGGTTAGTGGAAAGATGGGAGCGCAGAATTCTCTCACAATGTTGTCTGCCGAAATCCCAAGTGGTATCTGGGATGGCAAGGTATACCGGGTGTTCATCTACTTCTAGGAGAAGTTGCCAAACAAAGGTCTTAGGATTTGTGCCACAACTTTGCTTTGGGCAATGTTTTATCCCACTAGCTGTTTGTAACTTCGCAAGCCCATCTTCCTGAGCCATTTTGGCAGTTCGTGCAAGCCGCGGAGCAGGCAACTCTTCTTGCTCACATCATGTCCATGTTCAGTCTCCGACTTAATTCGATCTGTCAAGAGAAAGAGGACGGAACTAGCTACAATCGTTGCACAAAGCCCAAGTTGTTGCACTGTTCCGCAGAAGTGTTGGCTGGAATCATTCGACGATATTCGGGTTGCGTTCCAGATCTCAGCGACTGGCACTCACGTGTCAACCCTCAGGTGTCAAAGACCAGTCTTTTTTGTTTCGTTTTTGAACAAAACAAGGTTGCACCTGAGGGTGCAGATTGAACTTTTGGAACAAAGACTGGGTTGACCTGGGGTTGAACAGTCTTGTTGAACAGTCTTGTTCAGATTGAACTTCGGAACAAAGGGGCCTGCGGGTCGCACCTACGGTTGCACCTACCACGGCTGGATCCTTGCCAAAAGGTTAGGGAGTCGAAAAGGCAAGACCCTGAACACATGTAGAACTGTTGCCACAATTCCTGAACACATCACCGGAAAAAAGGCATTAATTGAAGAGAGTGTGTGCCGTCTGGATCGATTTGGATCGCATCCGTGGCGAAGATGGTCCGATCAGTCTGGTGTGCACCCCAAGATTCACACGCGTGTGTCCACGCGCACAGCACATGAACTGTTCGTGATTAGTGATTAGATGTGATTAGTGAGAATGATCAACAAGCTGCCTTGTACTTAGTCAGGGAAGTAAGTCGGACTGGCCGTCAGGTTCTTTGTGAATCTTCAGAGGTGTAGATGGGTCCGGAACCAAAAAGCCTGACCAAGAGCTGATGCAGACCTCCCTTAAACCTTCAAGGTTCTCCGATGATGGTACGCTAGGCGATCGGATGATGGTGCCATCGGATGATCCACTGGGAAGTGTGATTCACAGCAAAACAGTGATCCTTAATTCACAAGAAACGTCGAAGGCATGATCGTTTTGATCATCTCTTGTAAATACCGGACCCTTCAGGTCCTTTCTCGACCGTGCATCAAAGAAAATAACAGGTTCCCTGAAAGGGTGGGTGCCACTATCGCAAGTGCCTGCAGCTTGCGTATCATCTGCCAGCGCATTCCCCTGTGCAAACGCACAGCATAACGAAAGGGTAGCCTGCACAGCCAAATGACAATATACCTGACTGACTACCTGACTGCAATGAACAATTGGTTGTCAGGATGTCGGAAAAATTGGTGGACACCTACGGATTTGGTGGGAACATTAAAGATGACTACACATGTATAGACCTCAAAGAATTGTATAGCAACCTTGACCTCATATCTATTGACTTGTGAACCGAATGTTCAGACATGTTAAGTACCACAGGCCTGCTTCATACAGAAAGCCATCATTGGGAAGGAGGCGTTCCGAACTTGCCTGTAGCGCTCTCTGCACAAGTAGCACTTTTGGATGGCCAATCCTTGAGGACATGTTCATCTTCGGCCTTTCTTCCATGGCTGATAGCAACCATACCCAACGGCAAATACTCCCCCAGCAGCTGCACCACTGACAGGTGTTCACTGGCAATTGCCTTGGATTTACTGAGACAGGGTCTCGCCTGGAACAACAGAATATTGCCAATTTGAAGGGAAAAGAGGAATATATAAATACATAAATTAAACTTCATTATAAAGAACTTTGAGCAAAATCAGGCCGCAATGTCCAATGCTGTGGACCTATCATTTGCAGCCTTGTGTTTGTCAGCTCCAGCTGCTACCAGCAACAGCACAGCTTCCGGCTTGTTACTCTCAGCTGCCAAGTACAGTGCTGTCGAGCCAAACCAATCTTGTCGGTTCAGATCTGCCCGGGCTTCTAGCAGCAAAGGTATGCATTTCCAATTGCCAGCCCATGCTGCAGTGTGTAGTGCTGTCCAGCCAAAATCACGCGTGAAGTCTGGAGCTAGTGGTATCTGTAGCAACCTTTCCACTTCCTCACAGCAATTCGTGGCGCACGCTGTGAAGAGCTTCACGTTGCAAGCGTGGGATTGCTTGAAATCCACGACAAGGAGCTGCACCGTTGAAGGAGGAAGGATCTCCTGGTAGAGGAGACACACTTCGAACGACACGAAAATACTTCGAAGTGTCAATCATGCCTACATTGGGGTGGTTTTGGGGGTCAATGTAGGCATATATGGCAGTCCCATGGAGCGTCTGGGATTGGTAGAGGGCAGGGAAAACATCCGATGAAAATCACAGAAAAAACAAATCACCAAAGATCGCCACAGATCGCCTTTCATCCGCCACAGATCGCCGTGGCGGCGAAAACAATGGCGCTTGCGTTGAGAAAAACATCTTGGGGTCACTCCAATCCATTTCTAAAGCATTGGTCATGCTACTGGTTTACTATCCCTGTGGTGTGCCATCGCTCTAGCATGTGTCATTTCTATTATAGCATTTGTCATTTGCTACCCCTATGGTTTGTTTTGCTGGTCATCCACGTGGACATGCAACATTGACCCTTGCACTCGACCATCTTCCTCTAAGTCTAGAGTCTACAGCATTCTACAACCTCTACAACTGCAAATGTGAATGACAAAAAGGGTATGTGTTGAGATCTCTCCTGGTCGTCCAACAGACGTCGAAGATCTTCTGCTAAGCATGTTTGTTGGAACCTTGTAATTCCAATCCTCAGTGGCAACGGCGTGATGTCTGTCCACCGATCGGTCCCAAAATAGGAAAAGGTACTGTTCAAAAGAAAGGCTATTGCAGCCACGACCTATATCTATTGAAGCCTGAGCCTGAGACTTCTCATGATTTATGGAGTTCTCTGGCCAAGAGCGAGTTTTCACACCTCCACACCGTATGAACTATATAATTGTATCAACTGTTTGATCTCTTGGGGAAAACCAGGTGATCCGTAACAGACGAACAACAACAACAACAACAACAAGGTACAAACAAAAAACTGCAGCCCAGTTACGAGATATCTTGTTCCTTGTCTCTACAAGGGGGTGGAAACAAAATCTGCAACCCCGTCGTTGTTATTTTGACCCCCCCCACGAAAACAACCAGCCAACATGTACTTTTACCAGTCGTGGTAGTGCTTGTACTAGTGCTAGTACTAGTGGTACTAGTACTAGTAGTAGTCGTTGTGGTAGTGGTCGTAGTAGTAGTCGTCATAGTAGTAGTAGTAGCAGTAGTAGCAGTAGCAGCAGTAGCAGCAGCAGCAGCAGGAGTAGTAGTAGTAGTAGTAGTGGTGGTAGTGGCACTAGTAATAGTAGTAGTAGTAGTAGTAGTAGTCGTAGTAGTACTAGTACTAGTTTTCGTGGTGGTGGTGGTAGTCCGGTCAGCTAAGCCTCTGTAAAACTTCTACTTAGAACCTCTACCACAACCCTTTTTCAGAAGATGTTGTTGTCTCTACCCTGTTTAGAAAGAAAATCTGGAGCCCCGTTGTTGTTTTTTGACCCCCCCCCTCCAGAACAACATCCCAAAAAACATCAAAAAACAAGAAACAGACCAACCAAGACTTGAGAACCACAACGACAAGAAGTCCAGCTACTAACATCTCTCCAAACCTTCGACCCTATCCCTAACAGTGCCCCTTTGAAATCCCTGACTTGCAACATGTGACAACTATGTTGGGCAGCTGTTTTTGTCTCTACCAACAACAACAACACCAGCAGCAGCAGCAGCAACAGCAACAGCAACCGCAACCACAACGACAACGACAACGCCAACCACAACCGTTGGCTCTGGGCCTCCGAGACACAGCCTCTCGGTTAAAACGAAAGGGGAAGAGTTTGGCCAAGCAACCAAGAACCAAATCTCTTCACATCTCTACAAAATGTTCACAATCCTTCACATTTAGCCAAAAAGGATTGGAGGTCTTGGAAAGCTTAGCTTTTCAGATTACAGGTTTCTTCTTCAAACCACGGTGCGCCTCTTGAGAAGTGAGCCACAAAGTAGAGGCACTAGCTTGGATGGTAAATTGGTTGGAAGTAAAAACTGCCGGAAATGCAAGAGGCTAGGTATGTGGTAAAACCCCAACATGCAAACTACTTGTCAGGGTACGCTACTCAATTGTTTGTGGTTTCTTTGTATTGAGCTGCGACAGTCCAGCATGGGACACCAATGCACTACCCGGTAGACACCCCATATCAGTACTCTGTGGGTGAACCCATTGGACACCCCATACCTTCAGGTCGTCCTGATGTTTCGTGATGTATTGGTCGCTATGTTGTATTGGAATCTATCGATCAACAAGTGTGACTGCGGTCATCCGCAGATTCCATGGTGGTCCTCCATGCAATGAAAACACAACAAGTATATACACGAATGCAAATCATGTTGAGGTCTCTATCAATTTAAAGATAGGCTATCCTTGGTTGCGCTCACTAAATCTTAAAACCACATCGACATCCGATCGCAGTGCAACCACAGCGGAGAATCTGCTTGGCCAACATCGTCTTGAGCCACCGTACTGACTTGCCCTCCACCTGCTCCGGAGCAAAGGTGGCTACAACTCGGCCAGTCATCACCCAAACAACACGAAACATCGAGCGCCCCGAGCGGAGGTGTGTGCACCTTCTAAGGACCTGAACCACCAGCGCACGGCGCCGCTTGAGCCGCCAGGGCGTACAAGAGGCAGCTTTGACCACATACGGTTCGACAAGCAGATGATAAAGAACAACATTAGCTCTGGAGATTGAGATTACAAAGGAAACAAGTGACAGCTGATGACATGTTCTCCGCTTCAGTCTGACATTCTGGAAAACCCTTCGCGCGCGAACCGCCTTTTCTCCCTTCGAACCAAACGCAGGTGTTTCGTTCACGGTTTCATTCCTTTTCTTCGGGGCCCCACGGAACGCCACACGGGAGGTCCAAAGGGTGAACCAGAAACGGTGCGAGTGACGCTCCTGACCAGTCAGGCGAAACCCAGGACTGTGGGTTTCACTGTCGGACTCCTCTGTTTTGTCCAATCAAAACGTCATAAATTCATGACAATTCATCTATGAGATATTGGTGTGACATATGTATTAGAAACGGGCGATTCGCGTCTTTTTGGTGTGTTTAATTGAATTTGATTGAACATAATTTTCCAATGGAGCACACACTTTATGTGCAACGGGTCTTTCTAGAATCAACTAGTTCATTGATGGTAAATTGGTTTTGAATTGAACACTATTCAAGAAAGATTGACTTGTAATTGGATTCCTATCAACATCTCCTTTTTATACACTCTGTGTTCACAGTATAAATGACGTTCTTCCACGTCGTCGCCAATTAAACAGTCCTTTGATAAAACTTTGGTCAATGAAGACTGATGTTTGATTGATGTCCAACCATCTTTGAACAAATTGCTTTGTCATGGGCACTCTGGGCCTAGCCGTCCCCAAAAACGCCGTCCCAGCCATCCGTGTTTTCATGTCGCTTCGACCCGGGGCACCTGTTTCTTCGCCAACTGAGCTCCTCTGTCACTGCTTTCCTGCATGCACGAATTCCAAGAATCAAAGATCCCAACATATCCCAATCCTCCAACCCTGCGTGACTCCAACATTGCAACGGAGGGTGCACCATAGTAAGGTTCTTCTCTGCCAAATGAGTCCGTTTTCATTGGCATGACATTTCTCTTATCGGCCCAAACCAACAAACACCAATCCGTTGAAAACGAACCAATCCGTGTTCCAGTTCCACCGAACAAACACGCTTTTGGGTGGAAAAAACTTGTTCATTCGCCGGACCTAAGGCTATCCTGTCCTAGACACCGTCGGCAGGGGGAATCCCCAAACAGTGCCCCAGAGCCTTGGTGGCACAACCAAAACGAAGCCCTTTCCGCCGGCGGGTCCGCCGGCTCCGGCGAAGCGGGCGACCTTGATGCTGAACTTGTCGCTCACGGCCCCAGCGGCGTCCGACAGGGAGCTGGGCACTGGAAGCGTCATGACCTGTCCGTGGGGTCCGTCAGGTCTGGGTGGCGGGTCCCTTTGAGCTGGGCTCGGGGGTCTGAAGGGATCCTGCAGGAAACGAATCCCATGCAGGATTACTGGATGGTTTCATGAGGCATTGGCAGGTAGCCAGCGAAGGCATGAGGGATGCTGCCTGTGTGGGGAAAGAAGCAGTTCATGTTCTCCTTCCAACAAGCTTCTGGTTGTTTGGGTTTCCAGGTATGTACCGGTATGTATACTGTATATATTCATACTGTAAGGCTCTGTGGGAACAAATTTTGAAACCTTGTAGGTGGGCTTGAAACTTAGTAGTGCTGCCTGTAGGCACGCCTATCAGCTGCAGGCCATACCCAACTCCAATACGAACCTCCCCGAATTGCATCTTGCCGCCGCAAGAAGCCCCGGCCCATGTTTGGTTGCGCCAAGAAACGCCCTCCACCGGGGAGATGGCGCTGCTTTCGACCTCCTCGAAACCCATCCGCAAATAGAACTTCAGCAGCTCCTGGTCCGGTCGAACCGGAGCGGTCCCGGAGCGGTCCCGGGTGCGGCGGATGGGGCGGTGGTCGGTGTCGGTGAGTCCGTGATCGGGTTCTCAACCCGATCTCGGAGAGAACCCGATCTGCCCGGAAGGAAAACATCGTCAAGTCCAATCGCAGGTCAATGAAGAACCTCTCTTTGGGGCGGTTGCTCCTCACCTGTTGCTCCTGCAGCAAAGCTTGGGTCTTGATGGACGTTGGCCGTTTACGACCTCAGCACACGTTTTACGAGTTGGACCGGCTTGCAAAAGAGTCAAAAGGCTTCGGGTCGAAAAAGTAGATGAAATGAAATGAGCTATAGCCTGGATAATAAGTAGATGAAATCAATTTAGCACAGTGGCTGGTTCGGCTACGTCAAGGGTATTCATTCGTTTTGAAAAACGTACTTTCGGGTTCCTCTTTGCTTCATGAGTCTGACTCCTCGCGGATTTTGACCAAAGCCACAGTAAAGTTCAGAGTCGTCCAAAGAGATTAGTCGATGGACATGTTCCAGGTCACACGACTTCAGTGGCTTGCCAGTGGCATGCAAAGCGACAGTAGCAACTCTCTTCAGGATCTTAGAACCTTTCTTCTCCTGAACAAAAGCATCCAGTCGACGAACCTTGTGTCTGGTCGAACCTTTTGTCTACCCGAAGTTGTCTGGTCGATGAAAGACAAAAACAAACGAACGGTGCAGTAGTCTGGGGCTCCGGAGCCGAAGTCATGAGGGATCAAGGAAAAGTATTGCGAGGACAAGTCATCCAGGTCAGCGCCTAAGAAGTCTTGCACAGGAACCCCTTTCATTGTAGTAGCTATTTGCTCCTAGTAGTATAAGGCCAGGAGCTACTGGTAGCGTCGTCGCTACTAGTAGCGATGCCATTTGTTACTAGTAGCTTCTTGTTCCTAGAAACCCTTCGTTTTCATGTGTTCACCCTGTGTTTTATTCTCTGACCCATTCCGTTGAGCTTTTTGCAGTGTATTGAAGCCCAACATGCCCAGTGTCCACAAATTTGCATAGAATGACAAATGCGGACGGATTGAAAACGTTTCAAGCTGCTGAACAAGCTATGCATGATTGTGTCAGCTTGCACCAACAATCCCAAGTGTCTGATGTTCTCAAATTCAGGCCCAAACTATATAGTTGGTCTTGTTCAACGCATCCAGGTTGTTTCAACACGCCAAACGGGCAAACAAACCTTGAACGACACACTCGTCGCCGTCCCCGTCGCGTCGCGGTTCCGGCGCCTTTCTTCTTCATCGCCGCCGCGATCTTGTCCAAGACCGCCTGGCCCTTCGCGATCTGGGCCTCGGGCGCAGAAGAACTCCCAGCATCTCCCAAAGAGAATCCAGTGACCACAATAGTAGGCCCACCAAAAACAAATGTATACCTAGCAACCATATATATATATATACATAGTGGTAACATGTGGTAACAGCTGATTCTTCTTGTGTGGCATGAACTAGGTGCACCTGGTCTATGGGGTGGTGGTTCAAGCAAACCGATAAGTTATGTTTCAATTTGAAGAGAGAAACAACATTATGCGACTGTGATGACCTTGGTATGTCCGAGAAACCAACACATCTGTCTGATGTCCGAGAAAGTGGCCTCATGGCGTCCTGGACCTCCAAATTGACAAGTCCTGCTGAACATCATGAACTCACATAATGAACTTAAGTTATAGCTTTGGTGAGCTTCATCCGACCAAAAGAGTCCGGCACTTCCAGGATGAGTGCCCCACATGTTGACCATCCTCATATGATTGAGCTGCAAGGACTTCTGTTGGCTAGAGCGGCTAGACTTATAACAGTTCATTCACGGGACTTCTCCCCGTGCCATCCATTGAAGCCAGTAGCAGCTGTGAGCTTTCCCATGGGTGCAGAGCCACCGCCGGCCGCGTCTTCCGTCTCCACAATGATGTACTTCCCTTTCCTGAAAAAAACACAGATGCAAAGAGAAAAAGAACCGAAACAAGTTCCTAAAAAGGGAAGTCACTAATCGATATTCTTTGGGTCACGAAATCATGCCCCTAAAGGGATCTGCTTCTGAGACCCTCAGTGCTTTTCGTTAGCAAGGGGAAGGACCCCAAGATTTCTAGCCTTTCAAGTCTTTTTCATGAAATAATCACGGAAATGGAAAACCACCTGGTTTGCATAGGAAAATTGTCATCCACGAGGCCATGCCTTCCACTCAACCATGATTGCTCCAGAAAAAATAAACAATACCTTCCAAAGTCGTAGGAGTAGATCTCGCATGCTCCTTTGAATCACAAAGGGGAGAAGAACTCTGGATGGTCAACTAGTCATCCGCATGGTCGTCTGGCCCATTTCAATACGATGAAAAACCAGTTCACATGCACATGCCAAGACCTTCAGTCAGTGACCGTCCGACTGAGATCCCAGTGGCTTGTCGGTCGTTTGAGGTCACTTAGGCCACCTAGAGAGGCCACTTAGAGACGTCGAAGAGGTCACAAACTGAAGGTCTGGAATATAGGATAAAGTATTGGAATGTTGATCAAACATGCACATTTACCCAGGCTCATGACCCTTTCCAAAGCATTCATCCAGTCCAGAATTCTAAAAAAAAGACAGCGAGAGAGAGAGAGAGAGTAAGGTTCACAAACCTGGTGTAAGCTCCCAAACGCAAGGAAGCTCTCTCCGCCAGTGCCCACTGAATTTTAATGTCAGCAGTAGTAGCAGTAGCAGTAGCAGTAGAAGTAGAAGTAGTAGTATTAGTAGTAGTAGTAGTAGGAAAAGTAGTAGGAGTAGCAGTACGAGTAGCAGTAGCAGTAGCAGTAGGAGTAGTAGTAGTAGTAGTAGTAGCAGTAGCAGATACAAATTCTGTGTCTTGGGGGGATCCCGTGCCATGTTTTCGCTTTTCGTTGCTCGTAAAAAACAAATGCACAACAAAATAGGCCTTTCCCATCTTGCCACGACGTCTCTCCATGTCTCTCCATCTCTCTCTCTCTCTCTCTCCTGGGCTTGAAGTCATCTGCATCCTCCCAAGCATTGCAGGTCTTCTCTCGGAACTTGGACTTGAAGGCCTCTGCTTTCTTTGCTCGCTTCGCATCGCACGCTTGCATCGCACTGGAACTGTCCGTCGAACTCGTGTTTTGCCGCGGAACGTCGGACTCACCGGTGGACTCCGACGTCACCGAAACGGACGTTGGAGCGAGCGATCGAAACGGGAGGGGGGGAACGGGTGTCCCCCCAATCCACCCCAGTCCACGGGTATCCCACTTTTCCTCACTAGGTCTGGTTCTTTTTTTTGAGAGTGGGACGCCACCAGGGCCCCCAAAATACACGGTTCTCAGCTGTTTTTTTTCACCCAAACATATGATTTATATGATTGTTTATAGGTCTTATTCCAAAATGCTATGTTGTATGTTGACGACGTAATATCATTAGTATATACTGTAATCTAATGTATTTCTCAATATGTCTAAATTAGTTTAGCTTGGGGAATTTACAAGTATACAGTTCTTGATATTGTTTAGCTTTTGTTCATCCTCTTCTGCGTTCAGTCTCTTCTATACTTTCAGTAATATTTTATGCTCAAAACATATTGTCAATCATTGCATCAGCATATTGGAGGGGGGGTCGACCAACTTCTTTTTTTGGTCGACCCGAGTCCCCCGCCCGAAAAGCATCAAGCCAGAAGTGACACTCCCCCAAATCATCTTAGTTACGTGGGTTGGATGGCTCCCCCAAATCCAGGATTACCTAATATATATATATATATATACTACGAAGAACAAAAAGAGGGTCACCACCTGAACTCCACTCCCGTTCATTCCCGTTCAACCCACCGTCCGACCTTGATGGCCTGGTCAGGACTGCCAAACCTCAGATCTGCAGCTGAGCGCTGCCACGCTGGCAGAACAGCAGCGATTGTGCTGACGATGTTCGGGTTAGACATGGACCCATCGAGGCTCTGTTCTCATGCCTGAAATCCATACAAATCCCATGCCTAAATGAGGTCAAAGGGGTGTCCATTCATAGCCCCTTAGAGGTCAAAGGGTGCTCATTAGACACCCCAACCGTGGGTCCGCGGTTGAGACTCGAAACCGAGAACTGAGGCTTCTGCTTTCAGAACCCTGTCCGTGAGCCATTGGGCAATTCGAAGCGCGCCACATTCATGACGCCAGCTCCACAAACCACAAGCTTTCCCTTAATCTAGATGAAAATCCCTACCTCTTCCATCCTCTTCCCTGTTTTGCTGTTGCTGCTGGACCAAATGCTCACGTTTCGCCTCCCAAACCCCCGGCCACCGCAGTTGTTTTCGCCGGCCGAAGCTAAGCGGCGAGGTGAACTTCGTGGCGCCGGACTCGCCCACGCGCCCCCAGCGGTTCCAGGCGTGATAGGAACCTGAAGGGACATCCGCGACCCAGGGACCAAGGGCCGGGCCTCCCTGGCGTCCACGAGAGACTATACAAGTAGGTGAGACGGGTGCAGCTGCGCCCCGAGCGTGGGGGCGCTTCAGCGAAAAAGGCCACAGGGTACCAAAGGGTGGATTTTCGTAGGTGGTCATAGATCTTCTCTGGTGAGGTGGGATGGGACTTTCAGATCCAAGTGGAGGTCTGAACTTGCTGGTGCTGATTTACTTGGGAGGTCATCCAAAAATAGATCAGAAGCTCATTGATATCTTCCATGTGAAGATCCAGGCCCAAGAGGATCATCCAATGTCGGTCGGACCTTGCCGCGACCTGAGGTCTCGGCCGCCTCCTTCTAGGACTTGGATGATGTAGTACTTGTTGTTGTTTCCCTTCCTGAATGAAGCACGCTCTCGACATCTAGGTGATTCTTGTGGGTGCGGGTTGCAAACAATGAGCACTTTAGCGAGTTCATCGAAATCTGGGCCCTCCGTCACCACATGTCCCACCCAATTCGTCCTACACAAAGCATCACAAACTAATTCTTCAAGTGGCCTTTTGATCCCCTGGTTTGAGGTCACTTAGGCCTGGAAAATTTAAAAGACCACTTATTGTGTAACTCATACATAGACTCTTTAAAGGGTAACTTTAAAGAAGCTAGAACACTTAAGTTATCTTAAGTTCACAGTATAAAAGTCCGAAAAGAGGTCTCGGGACTGTCACGTTCGTAGCGACAAAAAATCCCAGTGAAATCGAGTGCAGGGAAAAACCCTTCTGCGAAGGGAAAAAACCCTGGTAACGGGGGCTGGCTTCGACAAGTCCCGTCACAGCAAGGAAACGGCTACAAACCGGATGGCCAAAAAGAAGCAACCGTGTAACTGAAAGGAGAAGGGGGCACACCCCGAAAGCAGAGGAGCTCATCTCATTGTCTGGGCCGCTCCATCGTCACAATGAGAGTGGGTCTTGTGTCCACAGCAGGGGTCGAGGCTCACGCTCAGCCAACAAGCTCAGCGCTGAATGAAGATCGTGGTACATATGTGCTACATCGGTCGTGTCACTTTGAAAGGTTGAACAGTTGACGCGATTCTACTCCCACTAGCCCTTCAAAGTGTACTAGTAACTAGTGGTTTTCGATTGATGTTATCTCGCTCGACGAAGAACATCTGGCATGACCTGTCCAAAGGCGAGCAAAGCGAGCAGCAAATGATCAACTGATGAGCAACTGATCAACATGGGAAAATGGAACACTTCTGCAGCCTGCAGGACCGACGTATCCATTCGGAACCCTGCTTGCAATTGTGCCGGATGATCGGTGTTACATGTCCAGTTGCCTTATGAACACCATCCATGGGAGACTGGAAGAGTTAGTCAACATTGGATTTAAGTATATAACCACCCCCGATTAATCAATCCGAGCAATGATTAATCCCTATTAAGATTCGGGGCCGTTGATTCATCCTACGTCGACATTACACAATGAACCATTTGCCCCATTTCTTTATGACCCGTAACGATTCGGTCTGGAATCCGCTTCTGATTCTCCACCGTCGACGGAACGCATCCAAGAATCACGTTGGTCTGGTTCAGTTTCACAGAGTAGTCCTGACTCGACCAAGTCAAGCGCGAGGTTCCACAGGTCTACGGTCTAAATATTTAGCGAGAAGGCCAACAACCACCACAACGGCCACCACAACAACAAAAAACAATCAGCAAGAACCAAACAAATAACCAAAAACTAGCTGACAAACAACATCAAGACAATATAATATGATGCAACTATATATATATATGTATATATATATATCAGCTTGTAAAGGATTCTATCATCAGATGGTTGTCTGCGGAGCAGTTCGTCTTGGCGATGTTTAACCGTTGCTTGGTTGCCCCCTCTCTGCTTGAATTCCCAATATGTTTACCAAACTTTGCTTTCTTGATGCCATGTCAAGATGAAGCTTCAAGCCTGTTGGGAACCCGAAACAAATTAGCGTCGGGAGAGCTTAAAGACAATGATGCCAAAACATGTCAAAAGTTATTGTAAAACAGGTTGGATGGTATTACTTTCTAGCTAGCCTAAGCGATGAATCTGTATCCGGTATTCTTTTATGCATTCAGTGAGATGATCAAACATCATGTCATATCAAGAGGTCACGCGAATGCATGTGGGCTCGCACGAGGTAGACCAGAAACCTCACTAGCGGCAATTTTTCTCACAAGCTGCTTCGAATGGTGTTTGCGGCAGCGTTGCTCTGCGCCGTCCCTTCATTGAAACAAACAACTGCGAACATCAATCTTTTCAGCAGCGGTCGGAGAAATCACTAAGTATGGACAGAGCAGACCTATCCTCGCCGCACCATCACCCGTGAGGCTTCCGGTTGGGCCAAACGCTCTCACATTGATAACTACGCAACGTGTGTGGGCTATCTTGTTATTATTTTGTCTCGAACTTTGAAGCGCAAGCCCCACACCCGTGTTCGGTGGCTCCACCTTCAATCAAGCGGCGTATCTCAGAAAAAAGCAGCTAGGCTATCAGGCCAAAGGAGAGTTGGCCTCTGCCAGTCTCGTTGCCAGGCTCTTCCTCCTGGTGGCCCGCCTCAGTTTTTTTCGTGACTTTCCCCGGCTTCTTTTTTGGCTGCGGTCCTGCTTCGGAATCATCTTTTCTGTGTTTATTCTGTCCTGGATTTTTTGGCGGTTCGTCTTTCGCCTCTGCTTCTTGAAGCGCTTCTGGTCGGAAGTGGCTGGACCTACCCTTTTCATTTCTGACAGCAAGAATTCGGCCGCATTTCGATCTTCTTGGCGTGCTGCTCAGACAGCGCAAAGCCGTAGTACGGCGCGCGTGCTTGAGATAAGGCCCACTGCCAAGTCCAACCTGACAAGATCGAAAGCAGCAGCTGTCATTTATCATAAAATATCATATGGGGCGACAAACAATTGTCATTGAAGCTATTGATGGGACAAAGCGCAACCCCTTGCATGAATGCCCACGGAGCAAGTCTCGGAAAAACTCGATGGGCAAGACAGATGCCGAGAAGACGCTTTCAAGGTTCGACAAGGGCTCCGTGGTCTTTGCGTCTGCTGTCACTGCCACTGCTCGATCCGAGGTCAACACTTCTACCTTTTCAGACCTGGCAATCTTTAGAACAGAATCTCGGTTTTGAAAGGAGACAAATGAGTTGACGTTAGAGCTGACCCGGGTAAGGAGAGTGTAAAATGACAAGGCCAGACTGGGCCAACCTCGGGTAAGGATACCGTCTTTCGTTCTAAGGACAGTGCGCCGGCTACGCGGACACTACCCTTACACCAATCTACACTATCCTTACCCAGGGTCGGACTGGGCCAGCCTCGGGTAAGGCTACTGCGACTTTCACTCTCCGCATACCCAGGGTCAGTCACCGGGGTGTGGTTTTCTGACTGGGCCAGACTCGGGTAAGGTCAGCGACGTTTAACGGTTGCGACGTTAAAGTGGTTGCCTGAAGTGCGTGGCCGCAAGCTCCCAGGGTCCGCTCTTATGATTTTGACTGGAATGTTCAAGTTCTCCCAGGCTTCATTGGGACTGTATTTAGGAGGTCATCCGCTAGCTGAAAGCACTGGTGCCGTGGGCATCGCAGCCACCAATCTCTTCCTTCTCCAAGGGCCGTGAGTTCAGCCGCGTCCAAGCATCGGCGCACGGCTGTTACGGACACTCCGTCGCCAACGGCTTCTTCAAAAGCTCGACGCGGTACTGTTACCTTCATCAGCTTGTCTGCCACAGCAGACGGCAAGCCTTGCAGGCGAGCCATTAACCTAGTGCGAACAGTGCCTACTGCGAAGAGCCATGTGCCCGCAAACACTCAGTATCCGTAGATAGACGAGGCGCCCGCGAGCGCAGTGCCCGTAGGCAAGTGCCCACTGGGCACGCAGCGCTCGAAAGCACGAAGTGCCCGTAGGCACGGAGTGCCCGCAGGCACGCAGCGCGCGCGTGCGCGATGCATTCCACAAGCCTGGAGCTGCTCAGGCTTTCGTGCCAGGATCTGGTCAGCTGACGTCACTGAGGCCACCCGGCAACAAGCAGCTTTCAAATTCACTTGGCCTCGTGGGCCATGCAGGTGTGCAACAGCCCACATGTTGGAAGATTCCCGCTGGTCCTGGTGCGGAACATCTTCCAATGCTTGGCCACCTGTGGAAGCCAGGTTCTGAGGACCCTCTTCAGTGGGCAGCTGTGAAAGGGCAGCCAACACTTCTTGGCGCAGTGCACCTCTCAGGTCAAAGCAGCGATCCATGATTTTTCGAAGCGTTCCCTCGCAGCCTTTCACCTCCTCCTCGGAGATGCGCAGCTGGTCCCGCAGCCCTGCTGTTTCCTCCATCTTATCTGTCACATCATCGAACAGCACAGTGGCCTCTGTGGCCAGCAAGGAAAGAACTGCGACGCTTTGTAAGAGAGCCAGCTTCTTATCCATGCTGCTACACACCAAAAAAGGCAGCTAGAATTCAGCACTGCGCCGGACTTGTGCCAAAACACTGCAGCCAAACCTCTCTTTCTTGTAAAATCTTTCCAGGCTAGGGCTTGGGGTGCCGAACCTGTTTATACACATGCATTATGTTTTTCCAAGACTAAGAACAACTCGGGAAAAAGGAGATATGATAAAGATATAAATATTCACGGTGACCCTTGGTTATCTTGCAATAAAGGTATTTGCAATACTGGTCAATTCAGCTTCCACCACACAGGCGGGAGCAACCAAGCAACAGTTAAACATTACCAAGTCGTGCAAGAACATGAAAGAACCAAAACCAACAGGCAAAAACACAATCATATCTCTTCAACTGGCACACATGCGCATGCGCAAGAGCTGAATCAGATGAAGTTCCACTTTAGCGATTACAATACCGATCTAGAGCGCTGAACCTGGACCTGGCATCAGCCCTGAGCAGAACAGTAAGGTGGCTGGGTCGGAAACAATATGGTTTAAAAATCATCAAGTCTCGAATCAGCAGGTACACATTCAGGCGTCCCTGAATGCTTCCACCAGTCTTCTGCAGCTTCGTTGGGCAACCAACGTAAGAAGACTGGCAGTTGCCCCCCCGCCTCCTTTTTCTAGGAAATTAAATTGAATATACGGAAACCTTGGAAAACAGGTGGTGACACACACACACTGAGACAGTGGGTTTGCAGCTAACTCAATTCCCACGAAAAATATCGGCGCTCCAGAGGATTACTAGCCACCTAACAAGCTTTAGAAAGAAAAGACAGAAAGAGCAAACGAAGAGGGCAAGAGAGAAAGATAGGAGTAGTTACGAGGCCCACTAGTTAAGAAACCGTCTAGTTACTGACTACTTAGCCGAATGAATTAGGTGCACTAGTTAGCGAGCGGGCCTTTAGTCTTAGACCGCCCGGGTAGGAAAGACTAGCACAGGAGAAACAGAAGGAAAGGCACCAACACACAAGTGTGCTGAGCGCGATTTCCTTCTGTTACCCTAATTAGAGGGTGGGATAGCAACTACGAATTAGGTGCAAGGGTGGGGGGAAGGGGGGAGGGTGGGTTGGGGTGGCTCACAGGCACTGCCGTAACCGGCGCTCCCTTGACTGAAAGGCACCTGGAACCTAAAGAAAGGCCTCAAGAAAACGAAAAGCAACAGCAGGAAAGAAAAACCGAACGGACCAAAAGAGAAAACCCGCTCACGTTCCTCATTCTCCTCACGTCACGCCACGTTCGGCCGTATACGGCGCTCCCTTGACTAAAGCTTCACCTGATACCTGAAAGCCTCAAGCAAAACCGTTGGTAGTTGTTAGACACTCTGAGTTCGTTTCGTGTCGTTTCGTGGATCGCACATGCGCAGGGAAGTCAGTGGGCCCTGCGGCATTCAATCGCAGTAGGCCCTGCGGCGTTCAATCAGCATTCTCATGCAAGACACGTAAGCTAGTGGGAATCAGAGAGAAGGTCACAAGAAGGACAGGAGAAGTCAGTGGGAGTCCCCCAGATCTGGGTCTATGCACATGCAGCGCCCCTCGATGGGCATCACACCACAGCCCTCAGTGGGACTCTGTGGCGACACACACTTAGAACGTTGCTCGCAAGAGCTGAATCAGTTGATGAAGTTCCACTTTAGCGATTACAATACCGATCTAGAGCGCTGGAACCTGGACCTGGTAACAGCCCTGAGCAGAACAGTAAGGTGGCTGGGTCGGAAACAATATGGTTTAAATCAGCAAGTCTCGAATCAGCAGGTACACATTCAGGCGTCCCTGAATGCTTCCACCAGTCTTCTGCAGCTTCGTTGGGCAACGTAAGAAGACTGGCAGCCCCCCCGCCTCTTTTTTCTAAGGGAAATTAAATTGAATATACGGAAACCTTGGAAAATAGGTGGTGACACACACACACACACACTTAGACAATGGGTTTGCAGTTAACTCAATCCCCACGAAAAATGAACGCAAACGGCAAGGCGGCTGGGTCAGTGGAAGTGAAGGTGTTTAACAAAAGGGTTTGCATGACTGCGGACTCTTAGCTACTTAATACGTAGCGAGCGAAAAGTGGACGCAACGGCAAGGCGGCTGGGTCAGTGGAATTGAAGGTGCTTAACAAAAGTTTGTATGACTGCGCGCGTTAGTTACTGAATACGTAGCGATGGAAACCTGTTTTGGGATCTATCATGAGAACGACCATGGAAGCAAACCAAGAAAGTAGACAGCGTGAACAACAGTTGTTTTGCAGGTACACGCCAAGGCTTCCCTTGGTGCTTCCTCTGTCACATCCCAGCTTCGTTGGGCCAGGTCGGATGTGACAGGCCTGGCCCCCCTGCATGAACCAGCAAAAACTCCTTGGGACGGAGCGTGACACACACACACACTCTATTTCTCCCCACCTCTCTCTCTCTCTCTCGCGCTTCCTCTCCCTCTCTCCACAAACTGCACCTTGGTTTCAGTGATATTTTCTTTGTGTGACCGCTCCACCTACCGCTCGCCGCCCCTCCTCTCTGTCTTTCCTTTTTGAACGCCCGAGGCCGAAGCCTGGTACACTTTGTAGCCACCTGCTCCAGGAACTTGGTCATCCACCTGCTTCTTCCCTCCTGCACGGTGTGGTGGCAAAGAACTATCAGCGACACCATTCGTGGAGGACGAATCATTCAACCGTTTTGATCTGACTTGTGGATAAACACAAGCGACTACACAAGTGAGGTTGCTCTTCCACCTATTACCTCCAAGAAATAAGAGTCTATAGAACCCTTTGATTCCCAAGTACCAACCATCTCTGAACCACAATTCATCTTTTGTTACCTTCAAGTGTGTCTGAAGCCACCACAAAGTACAACACTGGCGTCGGTAATATTAATCGATTGTTAACATCATTGACCTCGATGCACCGTCCACTCCTCTCATGTGATTCTTCTGAACCAACCCTCGACTTGGTACCCATGTTTCAAACATGAAAGCCAAGTGTCTAGGGATGTCCACTATGACCGTCTTTCTACAGGTTTCAGAATGAGTAAAAAAACCCGAGACCCGTCAATCCAAAAGATAAACTACACCAAGCATTATCGTTCTTCACCTATACCAGGCCTTTGGAATTTGTGTTTGCTATTGATCTACAAATCTGAACACTTTCACAAACAAACTCTGTTTTGAAACAAACACTGCTTTCCCAGCATCTTCCGGCCTCCCTTCTTGCGCGCCGCTTTGGCCTGTCGCGTGTGGACGCGGGTCTCTCTCCAGGAGACCGGCCCTCACCCCCAGGTGGCTGGGTAGATTGGTCTATGTTCCGAACCTTCCAGGGGTTTGGACTGGGATACACACCCATATGGGTCGTTTCAGCACATGAATGAAATCGTTTCAGCAGTTTTTGGTTGAAAGGTGAGGGCGAGGGGCTTGGTTTTTCAAACGAGTCCTGCACCTGTTGTGCCAATTCATGTGACGTCGGAAGAAACACAAGCTACTTCCAAGTCATATTTTTCTCCATGTGCATATATGTATGTATAGATCAAATAAAGTTGCAAAGATAGGGACAAGACCTTTGATCTCCTTTGCAAACCCTTCCTCCACAAATTCGGCTATGTCTCTCTGATCCCCTATAGTTTAGTGACATCCGTGGTCAATCTCTTCAAAGTTTGACAGGTATATGGCCCAGCTGCTTGGGAAACAAAGAAAGAAAGAAAGGACAAATAGCAGCTTTATTGTTTCCAGTAGTAAGGCCAGGAGCCCCTAGTAGCGTCCTTGCTCCTTTCGTAGCGATGCCCTTTGCTCCGCTCGTAGCGGGATTGCTCCCTTTACCCCCCTTCAGATTCCCTCAGAAGCTTCTTGGTCATTTTTTTCCACTAGTTCATTTGAGGGAAACCATGGCACCCAAAAGGTTCAAGGGTAGCCGCCTCAGTGTCACTGGCTGAACATGTATTCTCGACGCTGGCAATGGATTCTCGACTGACAAATGCCAGGCTGAGGGTCAAAACCTAGCCATCCCAATTTTCCAATCATGTAGACCAAAGGACATATTAATATACCTTGACATACGGCTTCCTCGGGCGATGGAAATCCTTTTCACACCATGAACGATGGAAATCCTCTTCACAACCCATTGAACGAACCAGTGGTTCGGACGCAGCTTATTCCCCGATCGGCCTCAGTCTCTCGTGGATTCATAGGACATACTGCAAACTGTCGCTGAGTTTCGAGCGCACCTTGCCCACATCGCCAGAGCTAGACTTGCGCAGCTTACCTGGGACGGCGAATGACGTGCCCTATGGCTGCCCTGCAGCACCAAAAAGTTTATACATGTGGGAAAAGTTTGCAATATTCAAAAAAAAGGGTGGGACGAGCTGACACCTCACCGCTGTCCCCACCTGCGTCTGAGCTTCCTGAGGCTTTGCGTTTGGGCGCTGGCCTCAGCGATGAAATCGCCGGACTCAGTTGACTAAAGAAAGTTTGAAAGTTCCCACGACCCAACTTTTACTCAAATTATATACTGTAATATAAAGGACGTTAAAGGGCTACAGTATAAAGGTTTAACCAGTATAAATAGGTTAGTGTGTAACCCAATCCCCAAACAAATCTAAAGGTGCTCATTGACTGGGTAGGTTTTAACGGTAGGAGCCTACTAGTAGCTCCTGGCATCGCTACTAGGAACAAGGGGCATCACTAGTAGGAGCAAGGACGCGACTATATAATAGCATCACTCTTTTTCGCTCCTTCTCTGCTTCGGGCCTGAGCTCCGCACGCAGGCTTCTCGGCCCTCGCCAAAATGCGGGTGAAAAGATCTACAAAGGTGACTGTCTGGTAGAGACACGCTCTAACCAGGGCCTAAGGTATTTTGCAAGAGTATATGAGTATACTGTATGTTGTTTTCCAGTACCTGGTCTGGTAGAATGTACAATACTGTGACTTGTACAGCTGACTATTCAAAAGTTTCTTCCACCTCCTTAGGTCCCTCAAAACCATATTGTTCTTGTTCAACAGAATGTAGTCCTCACCTATAATAATGAATCAATCGGCCTGGTAAGGAAGGACAAATGAGAGGATTCACCCTAACTTGGCTTTGACAGAGTCAGATGTACTTAATGATACTTAATTGCTAGAATATGCTTAAGCTTCAACCTTGGGCAACTTTCTGACCGCGAGAAAATCAATGTGCCAAGCACGCAACAAGCACGTTTGAAGCTAAACTGCTTAGAGCAACGTCTCCGAACAATGGTCACTTGTTAAAATACGTGAGCAAAGGAGGTAGGAGAAACAAACGTTTTCTGTACAGGGTCCGCGATTGGTGTATTATCTATAAACAAACTATAGCAAAACAAACTCAAGAATCAGAACCACACAACTAGTAACAAGTTCATCGCTACTAGTAACAATCCCACGCGTCTTAAGACAACTGCCTCGAGTTTGAGTTCGGTTCCGCAAGTGTGTACAGCTCAGACCTCCCGGTTAAACCACGTGAAACGGTCACGGGACCAACCTGGCTTTGGCTTTGGCTTTGGCTTTTGCCTTGGGGCTCGTGCGGGCCGCCGCCTGGAAAGATGTGGATTGGACAGGAAGGGAGAAGAAGAAGAGCAAAAAGATCCATGAATGGGTTTGAGGGAACATCTGCAGGACACCCATAGTTTTGGGGGTGAAAACCATGGTTTCCTGATGTTTCCTGTAGATTGACCCTAAAACATTGGTAAACATTGAACACATGATCCCAAACACCGCGTTGCGGTGCAAGTCTAGTGACCCAGGGACCGACGTCCAACCCCTGGTTGGTACGAGTGTTGGGGGATGTTGGGGAACTCGGGATTGATCAATACAACCATCGCGATGTCCCGGAGTCGATTGACTCAGAACTCCATCGGAAAATCACATGGATATGTCTTCCAGTCGTGAATGTGGTTCCCAAAGAGTTCGTCACACTGGTTTGGGTTTAAAAGCAAGTCACTGCTTGTATACCTAGCTTGCACTTCTGGCTCAAGTACTCATCCCCTCCAGTGCCCCATGGCCACGTGTAGCTTCCGGGTGGGTTTTGACACATCATCCTCTCTCATTCTGTTCAGAAGCCGGGTGTAGTCGTCCACCTTCACCGGACCGCACCACATGGACCGACCCCGGCTCGATCAGTTCTTGCTTCAACCTGACGTTCCGTCTCGTCCCGACGCCCGGACGGGCTCGTCCCCCGCAACTTCTTGTTCCTAATGGCTTCTTGTTCCTAGTAGTAAGGCCCTTGTTACTAGTAGCGATGCACTTGTTCCTAGTAGCTTCTTGTTCCTAAGGCGCTCCTTGGCTTTGGCACCGGCGCGTGCTTTGGCCGCCACCCATGCAGGGATCCTCGTCGGCCGCGTCGCGGAACGGTCGTGAAGCGAATTGGGGGTTCCGACGGGAGGAGGACCCGGCGGTCTGCCACGTGGGCTTTCCGGTCCGGCTTGCTTCCAACGGAAGGTGCCTTCTTGTTGTGTTTGGGTTGGGGTGCCACATCCACATCCAAGATCGCCGGGTGAAAACGGCAAACCACGAGTCGGAATGGAACTGTTGGGGAGGTAACTCTTCTATATGGCTTCGTACCTTAAGCGCATATATGTGAGCTTTCTCAAAGCGGAACCTCGTCGTTTGGATCGTTTTGGTGGCTTGCTTGCGATCGGACAAACGGGCCACGACCCACCCTCCAAGTGTCTTTGGGAAAAAAAACAACAAAACATCACATGGAGGGGTCGCTTGGTTTTTACGATCGCAAAAACCATAAACAGGTGGAAGGAATTCACAAAACAACAGCACCAACACTTCTATACGCATGCTTCCATTTTGGACTCCGTGTGCCACTTCTAGTCTGGTGCAAAGTACCTCGAATTGAATGTGACCTTCTCGATTCTCTTACATTGATACAAAGCTTCAATTCCATACGTTCAACACTGCCCATGCCTTCCCCTACAAGTCTTGTACGTCTTGTGCAGTAAAACTTTGCTCATCCACCCCGTGTATTATCTACAGGGATTCCGCTTGGGAGCAGCCACAGCCTGAGTCACTCTAGAATTTGCTAATTTATAATCACTTACAGGCTCTAGAAGCAGTATTGAGGATCATCGAGATATACTTGTGTTGTGGGTCCGCCAGCTCTTGCTATCATTTCGGCACTTGCACAAAATAAAGTCTGCACAGTAGAGGCATGCCATGCACTCCCAATATGTTCACAAATAAACATTCAACACGGCCAATGGATCAAAGGGCCAATCTGGAAACTCCTCCCTGAAATTACACACCTCTATTTCAAGGGTTAAAACTGTCATGTCACTCAATTTGGTCAGTGACCTTTCCCCACACTTCATCCTTCCCCCATCCATTCACATCGGTCACCCTGCTTCGGTGGCATCACGCCGAGAGGGTCCGGCCCAACGATCACGGGCTCCGAAAACGGGCTGCCGCGGGTGAACGGCGAGGCATGACGGGCGTTGCTTTCCGTGGAGGCGCGCGCAGACTCGGGGCCATGAATGGTTTTGGCGCTGCGGGCTGGGTGGGTCCATTCCAGGATTAAATTGAGATCGACTCAAAGTGTATTGAGATGTACAGATCTTGAAACTATCATGGAAGGAACAGTTTGGCCCCTGGAAGGACCAGTTTCCTCTGCATGCCGCGATCGGCAACCCTCAACGCGTATCAAAACGTGTGTTTATGAAAGAGAAAACACAACATCAGCCAGCATATGCTAGCATCAGCAGCATCACCCCCCAGACATTCTGGTATCCTGGTATAGCCTTGTTGACATGTTCAACGAGCCGATGAAATCCATGTTCGGGTATGAACAGAGACAGCAAAAAGAAGAAACATCAAAATCCTTACGCTTGGGACCTTTGGGCATCAATTTCTAGGGCCTAGGGATCACCATCTCTTCTAAGATCTGAGAAAGAAAGCCAAAGGAAAGCCACCCAGCTCTTAGATTATGATCAAATCATTTGACAGCAATATCTCTCCCCCAGCCTCCTCCGCGGATGAACCCGGGAATGGTTATTTGGCGATCCGCACTCTCCGCACTCTGCGCCTCCTCACGCCATTGGGTCTCCTTCTTGGCCAGCTCACTTTGCAGTCGCCGCCTCAACCGCGTCGTGACCGGACCGGGCGCGTGACCGCGGGACGCTCCTGAGGACCGGGCGGGGTGTCTGCTCGGATCCAATTCATCCGGAAAAGATGTGGAGCGCTGGTGGTGCACTCCCCCATTTTGACACTAGAATCATCTAGACATCTCTGGACTTGATCATGAAGGGTGAGCAGCACCAAAGACCCATGTTCATTGATTAGTTTCTGTGAAGGCCACTCAAAGGTGACCAAATGTGATCACAAAGCCGACTCGCCCATCAAAGCGGACTCGCCTGATTCCTTCACCTGATTTTGCCACATCCGCGTCCCAGGGGGTTCACTTTCCACAGTACCCATCTTAATTGAGGCTTGCGACAGGTACCCAGTTCCTGACGACAGCGAAGTCCAGTTCCGGGGTCCCTTCTAGAATCCACCATGATTCCAAGCAGTAGGCCGGTCAAAAAGGGCTGCCACTCGTCTGTTGTCACCCAGCACTTGACCTTGAGCACTGCCCACAGCCACATCTCCGCTTGCAGATTCGGAGCCCGGAGTCCATGGTCCGACTGCCCAGTGTCACCGACTCGGTGCAGCCCAGTGAATTCTCAGTCCACTTTGGAGTTGGAACCTGTCCGGTTGAGCTGTGTCCGTCCCGAGCCAATGCTGATGCCTCAGTGAGCAAACCTTGGGAGCCGAAATGGTGGCTGCGAATGGGTGACAAAGCTTTCGCATTCTTGACCTCGCGGAAACTCGCTTGATTGCTGGGCAGGCAGCAGCCAGAACCTGGAGACCAGGCTCTTCTGGATGTCCGCACGGAACTTCTTCCAGTGCCATCTAACATCTAATCAATGCTCACTCTGCGACGCAGAAGCCTCTTCCTTTTGCTGTACCATCTGTACCTTGAACACTTTGCAGTCGGCTATCTGTAGATCCAGACCTGGAGGAGATGGCGGATCAATCTCTGGACCCGACCGGAAGCTCCGGCCTCAAACCATGACCTTTAACCACAAGAAGCTCGAAGCTTTGGAGCTTTGTGAGACATTGTTCCGATCCTTTGCGGCTTTGGACCAATCATGGGAGAATCCCCCAACAAATCCTGCCGTCTGATCAAGAAATTGCTCTTATCATCAAATACTCTGACACTTCATATGATTAATGTGGACCCTTGATCAATAACCCACCATTAACCCACCAACCTGAATTGTGAAGCCTCTCTTCATAATTGTTGATTGACTCTCATCAGGAGTCTCTATGACTTCTACCGATAATCATGGCACCTTCCCGGAATCCGGATCTCAGGTGCCCACTCCCACTCTTCGATTTGCTCCGCATGTTGCCGCCGCTCGTCTTCCAAGGCCTACCGAGCGCAAGAAGACGTTGCCGCCGCGCCACTTCGTCACTGAAGGGTTTTGTGCTAACTGGGTGGTGGTGGTGCGGTTTCGGTTCCAACGAAGTCACCAAAGCAATCAAGTGCTTTGACAGGGTTTGGGGGAACTCCCCCAAAAGGCCCCGGCCTCCCTGTCGAATAATGTGTCTATATATATTTATATAATAATGTATATATAATATATATAGATATCCCCGCTCATGGATGCAAACTCGAAGTTCGCGGATCCAAAGTGCATCCAAATCTGCACTGCTGCTCTTCTTCATGCGAGGATCACTAAATCACAGTACACCCGCGATCCCGGACTGCTTACCGCTAGGTGCGGGGTGCTCACCAATCGTTTTGGTTGCTTCGAAGATAAAGTTATATAGGTTGGAGGCCAACGCTAGTAGATTAGAGGCCATCGCTCCATCGCTAGTAGGTTGGAGGCCATCGCTAGTAGCTTAGAGGCCATCGCTAGTAGCTTAGAGGCCATCGCTAGTATAAATGATTGAATTATTGACAGAATCATACAGAATCACAGTCCCGTCATGCTCATGCCGAGCTACGCTCATCCTCACTCATCCTCAGCCGCAAGTAGCTGCGGCCTTCTCGAGCTCCGCGGAGGCCAAACGGCAGCGGTGGAGTTCATCGGCCCAGAGTCTCCGGTGGTAGTTCAGCGCCTGACGAGCTGGGAGCGGGTGGGGGCCTCGCCTGACTTGGGTGGAGGCCATCGCTATTAGGTTGGAGGCCATTGCTATACTAGTAGCAAGGACGCTGCTGGCTCGAGCGAGTACGTTCGGGGCCGAAGCGAATCGGGGAAAACGGATGGATGGCAGAAAAGGCGAGGAAGTGGGTCAGACCATCTTGCGAAGAGCGAACAGGGTGTTTTTTCAACTCCAAGTCCATGTTGATACATGTCAGAGAAAGCCTTGCGCCCGAGTTGGATGTTGCTGAAAAGAGAAGGTGTGTTGAAGTAGGATTGGTCTTTGGACACCCTTGCTGACAAAGACATGTATCTTAAAAGAAGTCAAAAACCTTCCACACCATCAAAATAGACATGAGCCAACCCCAGAGACAGCGAAGCTTGGATTTCTCCGTGCGAATGCCGCTGGCTCCCCACTCCAAACTCATCCACCGGACGTCCATCCTTTTAGAATTGCCTCCTTCAAGCCACTTTGGATTTGCTTCTGCTGCTCCTGGCCGGAACTTCAGTGGTGCCAAGCCACTATAATATGTAAAACATGCACAGTCTATAGTCCTCACCAACAAAACCTGCATTTGGATGCATTTCGGATTTGTATGGATTTGTGATCTATGCCCACATCGCATGGCTCGTATGTGCAACCAAGCCAGTGGAAGATCATGGAGCATCAATGAACCTTAACGGCCAAATATGACAATGAATCTTAACGGCCAAATATGACGCGCTGTGAGTCACAGCAGCCTCTTGCCCTTGATCCATTGGTTGGAACAGGCACCCTCTCGAATTTTAACATGGACCCTGACACTGGCTACCTGGAAGATTGTTTTCCTCTACCAACCAGTGGTCCATGTTAGTCTTCCAGGGTGTACACGCGGTTGGGGACAAAAATGCTGAATAACATGTCGCAGGATTGGCTCCAACGTCGCATTGAAACCAAGTTTCGCATTGTGGATAAAGGATTGATTAAGACTGCAATGTCATAAACTCACTTCGATTTTACGATTTCACAAAGTATCCAGGGACTTCACCTTCACAAAATGCTACACAAACTTGGGAGCGTAGCTTTATACGATCGAAGTGTGAATAAAGCACATTGTCTGCTGGTGGTTTGTCAGTGTTGATTTGGAGAGGTTCATGTGAGCAGTTACACAATGCAGAAAAAAACTGCGTATCTAGACTCTATAGACCGCGAAATGCTTGGATGATAGCAATGATGCAAGCTTTATTGGGATAGTATGGTCTCACGGGCCTCCAACGAAGGTAGATTGGACTCCCGGCAGCAAGCTCAGAATTGTTTTGATCGACAAAAACCTTGCCCAAAAGCATGGTACGTCTGCTTGTCCACGGCAGTCTATAACAAGTATCATGTTGTAAAAGTGTCGTAAGTAAGCACAAAGGCAAGCTCATACCATTTCAACCTGCAAGGGTCTGATTCATAGAGAGGGGTCTTGCAACTGAGCATAAAGGGCATCCTTATCTACTTTACGAATTTTGGCAGCAAAGAAGTCGATTCAACTGGAGCAAATACTGGTAAAAAGAACAATTTGCTATGATCTGCTGACACTTCTGCTGACACGGATAACCCTTACGGCCTGCAGTGCCAGGCATTCGAGGACCTCGTGCCTGCCGTGTCTGAGGAATCGATCTGTTGCCATGTTGCGTATCCAGCCATCAGTGGCTGGTAACCAGTGGCGATAGGTTCCGGTTTGACTGGTTCGTATGTGAACGTGCTACAGTATCTATGTGCGAGTTCGATGTGCGAGTTCCGCCTACCCAAGATTTCGGGGCCAGGCGACCACTGCTTCCCTTCCCGTGTGAGGGGCCGGTGTCCTCCAGCTCTTCGAGTTGTTGCTTCAACTTGGATTGGTCCTCAATGGCACTGGATCACTCAATGGCAGGCAGGTGAAGTCATGGAAGAGTGAACAAATCCACCGGTCTCAAGAAAGGACTATCAAAGCACTTTTAAGTACGAATTACTCCGGGTGATGACCAAATGGATCATTGAAGCAAACAAATAGAATCACCGAATAAGAGAACTCCTTCTTAGTTATGAAGGGGGATGAACCGAGGCCATCGCGCCCAGCGAGGAGCTTGAGTCCGTGGCGCTCAGTGGCGCTCAGTGGACCCACCGAGGTTTCCACCGGTCTCCTGGCCCCCTCCGTTTCGCTTCGGTGGTTAGGGTGGGTGCGAGGTCGAAACATCGAAGCTGAGGATATGGGACAGGAGCTCT